AGGAGGAGAGAGAAAAGAGGAGAGGGTAAAAGAGGAGGAGAGAGAAAGAGGGAGAACAGAGGAGTTGGTGAGGAGGAGGAGAGGAACGGGAATGGCAGGAGAAGGGCATAGATAGGTGAGGCAGGTAGGGGGCAAGCAGCAGCAGGAGCAAGGAGCATCAGTAGCGCTTACAACTTCGTAGACAGTGATCTGCAAGCATTCCTCTCATGTCACATCTCCCATATCCCCCTCCACCTTTTCTTTTGAAGCCATCTCCCCCTTCCGTCTCCTCCTCCTCCTCCTCCTCCTCCTCCTCCTCTTTCTCCTTCTCCTTCTCCTCCTCCTCCTCCTCCTCCTCCTCCTTATCTTCCTCCTCCTCGTGTTCCTCTTCCTCGTCTTAGTCCACTTAACGCTCCTGCGTACTGCTACTGGGTGCCGATCTGTCGATGCGCGATGTGCACTGCAGACAATGCGGGCGCTCATGGATGGTGATGTCAGCAACAATCTGCTAACTTGAAGGTCACAAGTTCGGATCTTGTAGGGTGCTGAATTCTCCGGAGATTGCCCGACACGTGGATGCTGACGTGTCAGCCTAGAAAGCCCACGTACGGACGCGCAAAAGGTGTTCAACGACGAACAGGTCCAGGTCAGCTTTTTGAGATCTCTTCACTCCCACCTCCCCTCGATCTCCTCCATCTCCTCCATCTCCTCCATCTCCTCGATCTCCTCCATCTCCTCCATCTCCTCCATCTCCTCCATCATTCCGCCATCATTCCTCCTACTCTTCTCGTTTGGCCATATCCTCCTCTTTTATCTCTGCTCTCTCTAGGGCTTATCCTTTTCGATTCCTTCTTTTTATCTTTCGCACTCCTCCTCCTCCTCTCGCCTGCGGTCCTCTTTCTCATCCTTACCCGCATGATCTCTGCGTTACGTTATTTCCAAATTGCCCCCTTCCTCCTCCTTATGATCTCTGCGTCATGACACTCACTCTAGGTGACACGCACGCCCCCTTCCTCCTCCTCCAATGCCCATATCATCTTCCTACATACTCCTCGCTCCGCGTTACCTTATTTCCAAATTGCGCCCTTCCTCCTCCTTATGTCGCCAATTGACATGCTTTTTTCTCTCCTGCTTCTCCTTCTTTCCGTGTGTCCCCTTTCTTCTTCTTCGTCTTCTTCCCTTCTTCTTCTTCTTCTTCGTCCTCTTCTTCTTTCTTGTGCTCCGTTGTACCGTCTTCCCCGAGATAGAGTGCACAGTAATTGTCACTGTATTGGATAGAACGCGCGGTTATTACTGTATCAAATTATCACGGCATCTAGACTGGAAGTAGACGAAATACAGTCATGATGACCGTGCGTTCTATTCGGGGGAAGAGGGCCGTCGTTGATGGCTTCCACGTTGTCAATAATCCTTTTCCAAGTCCGTGCTGAATAATTATTGGGCAATCTGACGTCAGTGGGAAGGACCCCCACTGACGTCTGATTTGGCAGAGAGCAGTGGGGAGGGTGGGTGGGTGGATTCGTCTGCTCTCTCGCGATCTTGGCGAAGCACCCGATCCTTGAGGAACCGATACATGCCTCTTCTCTCCCTCTCTCCCTCTCTCCCTCTCTCCCTCTCTCCCTCTCCCATTCTGTCCCTCTCCCTCTCTCCCTCTCCCCTCTCTCTCCCTCTCTCCCTCTCTCCCTCTCTCCCTCTCTCCCTCTCTCCCTCTCTCCTCTAGAGCTAGCGCTTGGCACAACTAAATGGGAAAATCTGCCGCCTGGCTTTCCTCGGGAAAGATCAGTAACTGTAACCCAGCGGGCAGGCGTTGAGGGAAGCAAACAAGCAAGGTCTCATCAGCTCGACTGTCCTCGCTCTCCCCGCCTCCTCCGTCTCGTTCTCCTCCTCGTCCTCCACTTCTCCTCCTCTCCTTCAATTCTTCTCCTCTCCTCCATTTCTCCTCCTCTCCTCTTTTCCTCCTCTCCTCTTTCCTCCTCTTTTCCTCTTCTCCTCCTCTCCTCTCCTCTCCTACCCACCACTTCTCCTCCTCTTCTCCATTTCTTCTCCTCTCCTCTCTTCTCCTCCTCCTGTCCTCTTTTCCTCCTCTCCTCTTTTCCTCCTCTCCTCCTCTCCTCTTTTCCTCCTCTCCTATTTTCCTCTTTTCCTCCTCTCCTCCTCTCCTCTTTTCCTCCTCTCCTATTTTCCTCTTTTCCTCCTCTCCTCTTTTCCTCTTTTCCTCCTCGCCTCCTCTCCTCCTCTCCTCCTCTCCTCCTCTCCTCCTCTCCTCTTTTCCTCCTCCTCTTCTCCTCCTCTTCTCCACTCCTCTCCTCCTCTCTTCTTTTCCTCTCCTCCAATTCTTCTCCTCTCCTCCTCTCCTCCTCNCCTCTTTTCCTCCTCTCCGTTCCTCTTTTCCTCCTCTCCTCTCCTACTCTCCTACTCTCCTCTCCTCCTCCCCTTCTCCTCCTCCCCTTCTCCTCCGCTCCTCCTCTCCTTCTCTCCTCCTCTCCTCCTCTCTTCTCCTCTCCTCTCCTCCTCTCCTCTTTTCCTCCTCTCCTCCTCTCCTCTTTTCCTCCTCTCCTCCTTCCCTCTTTTCCTCCTCTCCTCTCCTCCTCTCCTGCTCTCCTTCTCCTCCTTCCCTTCTCCTCCTCCGCTCCTCCTCTCCTCCTCTTCTCCTCTCTTCTCCTCTCCTCCTCTCTTCTGCTCCTCCTCCTCTCCTCCTTTCCTCCTCTCCTCCTCTCTTCTTCTCCTCTCCTCCTCTCCTCCTCTCCTCCTCTCTTCTCCTCCTCTCTTCTCCTCCTCTCTTCTCCTCTCTTCTCCTCCTCTCTTCTCCTCCTCTCCTCCTCTCTTCTCCTCCTCTCCTCCTCTCTTCTCCTCTCCTCTCCTCCTCTCCTCCTCTCCTGCGCCTCTCTGCCTCTCCGCCTCCTCTCCTCCTCTCCTCCTCTCCTCCTCTCCTCCTTCACCTCCTACTATTACTCCTGCTCCTTCCATTGCTACTTGTGCTATTAGCTACTACTTTCTTCCCCCCAATAGAACGCACGGTCATCCGCCCTATATTTAGACTGAAAGTTGCCCCAAATTCAGCTACAATGACCATGCGTTCTATTCGAGGGAAGACGGAGGTGCTACTACCGCTACTACTCTCTTTCTTCTTCTTCTTCTTCTTCTTCTTCTTCTTCTTCTTCTTCTTCTTTATAACCAAATTGCAGGGCATTAGACGAGGTGATATGAGCACCCCCGCCTAGTAGCCCTTCTCTGGATGCTCCAATTCATTGGTGGGGAGCTGCACCTGCTGGAAACCGGGTCCAGCGTCCCAAAGAAACATCTGTCTGATCTTTACTGCAATACCTTGTCCCTTCCCCGGTCTCTGCTAGTCTAAGGCATATACTCACACTTGGTAGGAGTTTTTTACTTATTTCTGGACGGAATTGCGGTCAGATGCATCAAGTCTGGCCGTAAATGCGGTCAGCTACATTTAAAAAGATAGTGGGAGTGTGAGTACGCCCTAAGACTGAGAATGTCTGAGAACGCTAATTGATCACTTAAGCATGAAAAGCCCCCTCCAGATGGGGGTTTGATTTTTGCTGCAGTTCAAATTTAGGAGCAGACTACAAAAAAAAAAAAAAAAAAAAAAAAAAGCTTAGGAGCAGACTCCTCTCCTCCCCCAAGCGGAGGGGGCTTGAGGGTGTGATCGCTGTCTGCCTCTCAAGAAGAAGGGGGAGGCAGGCGATTTTTTTCCGACCTGCCAGATAATTTTTTTTTCCCCCGACTCAGAAGATGAAATTACACTCAAGTGCTCCCTCAAGAGGGAAGAAACGGCCAGGCGTTGTCTTCGGCGGAACACCTCCACCCCTTCTTTTTTGGGACCGTGATTAGCTTGTCCTGGCTGTAATGATGGTTATAAGAGAGTTGGTTGGATCTTGAGGCCAAGGTCGCCGTACGAATGAATGAATCGAATCCGTGCCGTGCGTGCACGGAGGAGGAGAAGGAAAGGAGGTCATTAGGCCTAAAGTCGCCGTACGAATCCAGAACTACTGTGGTGGACCGTGAAGGGAAGAATGGCACAAAGAGGGGCAAAGACGGAAGTTGCGTGAGAAAGAAAAAAAAAAATAAAAAAAATTCGGAGGACGAAGAGATGAGAGACAAGAGGATTAGGATTTCTTCTCCTCTGTCGATCTCTCTGCTTCAGGCGTAACCTCCCTCTCCTCTCCCCCCCCCTTCCCCCCCCCTCCTCTCCTCTTCTTCTCCCTTTTCCTTTCCTCCTCACCCTCTAATCTTGCCGTTGCCAGTGCTGCTTGATGCCAGATTGGCATTTTTTGGAGGTCGTGGTTCAATTCTCATCATTGTCCTCAATTACTGGCAACCCCCCACCAGTGCTGCTTCTGCGCACATTTGGTGCCTGGCTAACCCCCACCTAGAGGGGTAGGTCCTTGACGGGGGGAAAGGGGATGGGGTTGGGGGGGTTAGGGTGTT